CTGTGCTTCCATAAATGGTCACTACAGCTTTGTGGTCTATGGGACTACGTCCAAGTTGCCGATCCACGGGATCAAGATGCGGCTATTTTGGTGCTACGCGAGGGTTTTGGTATCCCGGACTCTGTTGACGACGCCGAAACAGAGGGAGAGTCACTCTCACAGCACACCTCCGAATGGGGTCTCCCTCCGCGGTTAGCAGCAACACCTACCACGCTGGTGCGAGGCGATACGGTTTATCAAAGTATCTGTTCATCGAGTGCCAGCGACATCGACTACGTTAGCGCCGTGTCAACGACAATAGGCTCCTTCGCTGATATCAATGGCGTGCCCTTGAGATCAGTTGGTTATGCTGAGCTCAGTCGGTATGCTACATCCCGTTACATGTGCAATGAGGATGTGCAGGGTCGCTGTGTCCCTGCTGGTTCATCAGACCTACTCGGGGTCAACGGACTCCTCGATGGCTATCGCAGAATGCGCTGGCTCTCCCAGCAGGTGTATGCCAACAAGGAGACTCTGAGATTCTCCCAAACCGACTCTGATCACACAGTTGGAGACGAATCAACCACGAGTAACCACACTGATTGGTTGTCCAGAATTTATCATTACTTGGATCCATTCGCTGCGCACAAGGTCGGCCACGACTATTATATCACTATCTTCTTATTGGCCCTCTTTCTTTGGATTTGGTGTATCCTGACGTATCACCGTATGTCTGGTGATACGAGCGAGGATGTTCTTGGTGCTCTCAAATCGAATAAGTTTTCGGCATCACTCGCTTTATTGATGATAAGCCATCTCATTTTGATCGTGCTAGATCGGGCTTACTATCGTGCAAGTTGCATGAACGACACAGGCACTATTAACATCGATTTGTCTCAAACCGACATTGCGTTTACTACGAATGACACTTTGACGGAGACGTCAACTGTTGAACGCTGCCGAATGTCTGTGAAGAGGAAAATCCCTAGAGTTGCCATGGGATGGTTCATCTTCCGTGCAATCCTGTTGGTGGCCATAGTGCTCGCTCTGCACATAACGATTCTGGCCAATCTGGTCCCGGATAGCGATGCTTCTGGCTTCACTCCGGTCATCCAAAATTGGGCTATGTCCATCTACTACATGGTTTTCATACTCTACTTGGTGGTATCGTTGATGCAGCTCAGAGACGGTGTTCCACGAGTTTGGCGCGACTCCCTTCGACCGGACAAGTCGTGGAATGCAGTACGCAACATGGTTGCTGGCTACGCTTTCTCAGCCTACAAGGTCATCCCGTTCCTACAGGAGATCCGAACAACGGTCGATTGGGCGGTCACTCCGACCTCGCTAGATCTCTCCCAGTACTTCCTCTTGGAAGATGCTCACAATAATTTCTGGGATGTCTCGGGAGAAATGGACGATCGCCGCGAGAACTGGCCAGCCGAGCGTAAACAGTTCTGGTGGGAGAAGTGTATGTCGGGCTGTTGTCTGACCGTGATACTCGTGATTATCATCACACTTCCCATTATGATATTCTCAACCCTCTCGCCCTTCTCTAAGAACGCCTATATCACTGAAGCCTCTATGAAGGTTTCTTTGAATATCCAATCTTGCGAGAGCGACTGCGAATCGCCCTATTACATATTCCAGGATCTTTACTCGTCACCAATTTTGCACTCGGTCCAGATCACTGGCTCTGCCGCTACAAAGTTCCTTCAGACTCAGCCGGGTGTGTCTACTGATGCGGCTGTACAGAACATCAGTTTCCCACTCGGGAGTTCGACGGTTATTCAAGCCAGTCCAAATAAGATTCGTTCTCTCACTGATCTGATAGGGACAAGCACGCTCGAGCATAATCTGAGAGTTGAGCTCAAGCTGGCAGTGTCGTGGTCTCGATCCAACAATGTTGGTTACACTTCTTCTGGGGACTTTGACATGAGTCTATGCGGTTGTGACGATGGCGTGGTACAAACAACTGGCAACTTATGCAAAGAGTGCTCTCTCGGTGCATATCCTCTCCAGTTTGACGACTTCCGCACGAGCATAAGCTCGCTCCTTGGTAATCCCACGGCTAGTGTCTTATTCCCTAACTTCGGTCCTAGTATCGTCCACATTGACACTAATAATGAAGCTCAGTGGAATGGCTACTCGAAGGATCCGTCGATGTGGTATTCCCTCGTCTCTTCTATCACGGGGTCACAAGGAAGTCAGTTTGCTTCGATGGGAAACTCTGAAGATGACAGCTGCCCAGTTGGAGGTGGAGTGGTATGTTCTAATGATGGTTCTACTGGCTTCAACGGCGTCGGCTTCACATTGATGCTTGATAAGGTTTTTGGTGGTAATGAGGTCGGCGGCTTCTTATCCCTCGGCATCTTGGGTTTCTACATCACAATCATCTACGCTATTGGCCAGTTCATTCGTGTCATGTTCCAGGACGCCTCCCAGAAGGTCATCTACTCGGAGATTCCCAACCCGCAAGAGCTTCTCGATCTCATCAGCGGTGTGGCGATCGCTCAGGTATACGGCGATACACGTCGCGAGTTCGTTATGTACAACTGTCTTGTGAAGATATTGCGATCCCCAGAGACACTCATTGCGATTGGTGGAGCCGATCTGACGGGTTATGGTGCTCACAGGAATGACCAGCCTCCTTACCCTGATCTGCTCGGGCCCCTGGATAACCATCCCCCACCAATACGGTCCTCAGAGTCTAGCGGAGCTGGTCACGCTGAGTCTGGTGATGTACGTGAGACCCCACATGCTGGAGTGGCTGCTACGGTAGACACTGGCCCGAGCCCAGATGTAAATCTCACCAATGCAGTGCAACTTGCGGAGTGTCACTCAAACGTCCAAGATGGCGGCATGGCGGACGATGCGGTTCCCAATGATATCCCTAGAGAAACTACTGGCGACATCGACCCAAGGAGTAGCTCGATGACGGATCATCCGTCACGGATGCCCTGAATCCTTCTGGCCGATTGGCGGACTAGTTGTTCACTTCACACTGATGTTCCATAACATTGTGTGACATTGTGATTGCTTTCGGTCGTTTGAAACCTCTTCTCTATACTGAGGAGATCAAGTTCTATAAACATCTACCGTCGAAAAAATTGTATTGCTTCTACCCCCAGATTGACTGCCTGTTTGACTTTGCAGTGCAACAGTGTGTGATACCTATACAATTCAGAGCCTTACGCGAATTATGCTGTCTTGTTTCTGAAGTACAAATGGGGGATGCCCTAGTTCGAACGCGGAGCCTGGGGAGACCAGCACTCCAATCCGACATCTCCTGGCCGGCGGCATCGAGGAAGGACTTGTACCACTTGACTCGTGGGAGACATCGCTGGTTTCAAGCTCTCCTTTCGGGTCATCGATGATCATTTAGGGCATTCCTTGGGCACCACTACATCGATACACACGATCATTCCGTGAATTGTATGATATTACTACGAATACGAAACATTGCTCTAATCCTCGTTTAGCGAGAGCAGCCACTTGAATGACATTTCTTTTGATGATGGTAGTAGCTGCAGCACTCTCACTCCGCACAATAGTGTGGAACATAAACGACTTCAAGTGATTGGTTGTCCAAGCGTCCGATCAAGTCAACCAGTGGCCATCAATGACAACCTCGTTCTTTCTCCATCTGGTATAACACAACAACTCGATCTCACTGAGACTTGCGTATTATCACAAGTAGGAACTGCAAACTGATACACAACATAAGGAACTATCTCAACAGCTGAAGCACAACGTGACTCCGCTATCACCGGAAAAAGTGTAAAATCTACTAACAAGGAACTATTGCATAAAAGACATCATGTGGCCAGTGACCGACTGGCGGAGCACCAGTGGCACTTAATAATGACTCGAATGTTCACGAGCTCTACCGTTGCGTACGAGAATCCTGCTCGTCGTTTTCCCACACGCTAAACCAATCAACATCAGGATGTGGTGGAGTTGGTGGGATATCATGAATTTTGCGCTCGCGAACACCTATTTTGACATTCTTTCTTTGATGGCTGTAAACCAATAGGTTCTGGCACAGAGCGCATATTCTGAATAACAACGACTGGAGACGATACCAAGGGAACAGAATAAAATCAATCACGCCGGATCTGAGATCATGCCGATCACGGAGAACGAAGACCTCAAAGATAAGAACTTGAACGTAGAGGAGAGCAGTAAAGACAAGAGTCATTAGAATGAGACCAAGCCAGTCACGGAAGAGCAAGCCACAGAGCAAGAAAGCGCGCAACCAGTCCAATAAAATGCAAAGAAGCTCTTGAAGGAAGTATGGTTTCAGAACCAAAGATGCACCATGACAGAACGATCGGGGGTTGATGACCTCCCACAGATACGTGAATGTCTTCTTGTGCGATGTTAGATCCCACGACTTGACCCTCTGACGGAAGAGCACTGGCCAGGTATCAGGAGCGTACGTGGGAACGATCGTTTGAGCACATGAGATGATCGTAGACTCATCACGCTTCCTCAAAAGTGTCAAACCCATATACATATCCTCACCGTTGAACACAGTATCATGCTCGTACAACACTTCATCGAGTGCCTCGCGATCCCACAATGACACAGCACCATGGCATGATAGAGACCGAGCCATCTTAGCCTGGAAAAGCTTATGCACTGCTGCCATCTTGTATTCAACATCCTGCATTTTCACAAGCATGCCAGGCTTACCATCAGGGGTAGTCGCAGTGATAGGGAAGTGAACAGCCTTGATATTAGGATTGGCTCTCAGCTGTTCATGAGGTATGTACAGATCTGCTGGTAGTGGTACATCGTCATCGATCATAACCGAGTACTTGAAGTCGGGGACTCGGCCATTTTGGGCTAGATACGGTATCCAGTATTTGTTAACCCAGTAGAAAGCGATGTCTTGTTGCCTTCTGGGACGTAA